CAAACATTATAAATTATATATAATTACTTGCCGCTAAGTTAAAACTTTTAAAGCATCTTGGCCATCACAAGCAAGCCATATTTGATTTTTTGTCAAGTGTTCATATCCTATTAGAAACCAACATTCAAACATCGCTCCTTGATTTATTTTAGAAGCTATAGTAATATCTCCATAATTTTCTCCTTGCCGTCTACCAGACATAAATCAGGTTTAATTTTTAACTTAAAGGTTGCTTTTACCATAGCTTCTTTAGTAGCCTGGAGGGGATGCACTTGGTTTTCTAGTAAAATGTTTTTCTCGTTAGTAGTAGTCAGTCGGTAAGCAGAATTTTGATTAATTTCATTTAAATTTGGGTTTGGTTTTTTAAATCCTTAATTTCCTTACCCCAACATGTTGTGTAATAAGTTCTTTGACAAGAGCAAGCTCTATTCCGATACCTTCCTGATTACGTGAACTTTGAGATTCTACACGATAAAAACGTTGAAAAATATTTAATAAAGATGTTTCTGCAGAATTCCTCATTTTCATATTACCTGTATAATTCACTTTAAGTCCGCTTGAATCTATATCAATAAACGGTGATTTCTTTAATAACCTATGCGTTGGCAAAACAATATCATTGTATGAAGTTATTAATCTAAATCTCCAATGCCATAGATAAAAATGTTGTACTGGTACGTACGTACGTACATATGCTGATGGTACGTACTGGTGTACAGTTATAAAAATTCTTAGAATTTTATTAGCTAGTCGCACAGAGGTGATAATCATATGTAGAATAATCGGAAGGAATCTAGAATAGTCTGATTGACATTTTGTTGCTATAAAAGGTGCGATCTATGTTATCCTAATTTGGTATATTCTCTGACTGTATTAAAATTTTATATAGACAGCAAAATTTATCACTAATAAAACTTTTTAAAATCATGACTAATCTTCACCAAATTTTTTCAGTATATAATTTGAGGTCTCTTATTTATAACAGTAAAATTATAAACACTGTATCTTTTAAAAAAAATCTACTTTATATATTGATAAAAATACTTAGGTTGATCTAAATTTACTTAGATTGTACAAAAATTATCAATTCTGATTGGTCAAATTTGTTGTTTTTACAATTCTGATTGGTCAATCACATGATTTCATATGAATACCACATGATTACTATTAAAAATGATCTATAAACACCCTACTCTTAAGTTTTCAGAAAATTTTATTTTATAAAATTTAATATATATATATATATACACAGATTGAACAATAAATCTTTTTTACAAGTATTTATTCAGGTACAATATACAAATATTTTTTTTTATTATTGAAATTCTTTTTTTTTTTTTTTTTTTAATATTAAGGTGACCACTTTGGGGTCTGGCATATTTTATTGAACTTTAATTCAAATGTCAGAGCAACCTATATGGGCTACCCCTAACTTAATTATATTAACGAGGATACAACTAGCCATATATACAACTTTTGGTTGTTTATTTAAGCAGTCTTGCATAAATAACTTATATAAACTACACTAGCTGCTATACCTATAACCCAGCTAAGAGAATTATCTATTTAAACCCTCTGATCAACTTAGCACTATCAAATATTCTCTTCAAAAAGAGACTGCCAGGAAGGCCTCTTAGGACTTTAAAGCAGACACACACTACTATATAGGAGGGTTCTTTATCCTCATAGTAAACCTACCAAAGCGGTCTATGTCTTACACATGTATATCTAAATTTTCAATAACTTATACCTAGGCCGTAGCCAAATACTTGCAGCTTTTTAACTCCACTACTATTATCTACTTCTTGCCTTTGCAAAGTTTATCTAAACCTAGTATCTACTTTACAGACTATCAATAGTACTTTAATGCCAACCGTTGGTGCTCCAAACTTCTAATTCAGATAGCCCAGAAGGGACCAGTGGGCGTCCCCTAGTATTCCGAATGAACCTTTTTTTCTCCAGTTGTTTGATAGCCTAGTTGGCATAGTGCTTGCCAAACACTCGGTCCTAGTTCAGTTTGTCTTCGGTGTCCGGTTCTCTAGATAATAATCCTTTATGTAGTGCCATCAAAGATCTGTGCTACCTTTTTACTTGGGACTTCCCAAGCAGGCTTCCATATCTCCTGATCTCTTAGATTTATTTAGCTGCTTTACTCAGATTTTGTGTAACTTATATGTCACACTATATTTTACAACCTCCCAATGTGAGTTAGTGAGACCAAAGTCACAAGTGCTTACCCGATTGATATATTATACAGTTTTATCGTAACGCATTTCTACAAATTCGAATTTTGTCGGCAATGGGATTCCAACTCTTGTTCTGCCGCTTGGAGGTACGACAACTTACCAACTACACTAAGTCACCACACCCTATTATCAAATTCTTTTTGTATTTCTTTCACATATAATATATAGATTAAAAAATATTTAGAAAATATTCAGAAAAATTGTATATTATATCAAAGATTTTCAAAAGATACTTGTTAAAAAAGTTTATTATTTTTTTTTTTTTTGAATATTAATGGTGAGACCATGTCTCTGTTTTTATTGAAATTTAATTAAAATCTTTTATACAGA